TATTCGAATTCTACGTTAAATTCTACATTGATTTCATATATAATATGTTAGTATTGGATAAGTAAAATTCTTGCTAAAAGTGGTCACTGCAGCTGAACCCGAAGTCGAATGGTCATATGGAAAAGACCAATTTACTCCAAATTTGACGTAGTTCAATGTCATACAACAAATCGCTCTTAATTTGTAAAAATATTCATTTCTAGTATAAATAATAATAATGTCTGAAATGGTAATTATTTTTGTGACGATTTTACATTCAGTCAATCTGTATAGTGTTTAAAGAGTTTCCCCAGGGCTATTTTAATACAGCTAAACAAACTAAAATTACTGATTATTTTTGATAATTGCTATTATTAACAAACATTTTCAAATATTAATTAAAAATAAGTCATTTTTAGTCAAACCTCCCTTAGAGAAACCCTCTCTATAGGGAATACTTTTGCCGTGCAACTGGCCGTTCCTTTTGGAGAAGTTGCACTGTATAATGTAGATACATAGATAGTACATAGATACATGTATATAAAGAATATCTTTATTTACCAGAATATATTACTTTGTTATAAAAATTAGCAACTTTTAATACTTTGACCAGACCAAATATATTACTGTTGATAAGTATTATAATTTTTAAAATTTAATTATTTATATTACTGTATATAAAATAATTACAATGAGAAAATATTAGAAAATGTATACTTATTCCAAAATATTAATAAAAGTTGTTTCACTATGTGATTCTTGTTTATAAAAAAATTGCTTTATTATATTTTATATTTATTTTAATGTATTTTAAAACTTTTACAAAAAAATTTTTGTTGTAATTTTACACGTTTCTAAAAATTACATTTAATTAAAAAAAAATAGTTGGCTATAATACTTCATAAATCAATTTACTGCTTTGATTGAATAGCATGTAAATTTTACAATACAAAATATAGATTTATTGCATTTTACATACATTTCTATTGAATTACAATGTCTTAAACATAAGTTACCAACTTTTATGTCTAATTTATAAAAGTTTTTGTTACTCTTTATTTAAGTGCTGCCAATATTTTCTCATTCATTTCAGCGTTCATTGGATCCAACGTTGGCATTGAATTTATAATTGTCACCTCTATATCAGCATTGGCTTTATCATCACCCTGGTCAATTCAACAAGACAATATGTATTTATTTTTAATTATTAATATGAGAGAGAGAGAGAGAGAGAGAGAGAGAGAGAGAGAATATTGTAACACAATAATCGGTGATTACTTATAAATAATAATTAATATACAAACAAAAATAAATTGCGAAATATCGGACCTGTGGTGCCGCGGGTAATAAGTAAGCATCACGTGATTTGGCAATCAACGCGTCGACATCGTTAACACCATCCAACATAACTGGTTTGATCATGCTAACTTTGCCCACACGCTTAGACCACTTACGGACGATCGCCGTTTTGAGCCCAGCGGACAACTTCTTGCGCTTCTCCGCTCTATACGCCAAAAACATGCGAAGTCTGGCCAACAAAACGTGACAAATCTCGTCGATGTCGGGCGCCTGAAGGCCTTTGCCGGCAAACTCGGCGAACTCGGCGGTGACCCGACGTACGCGGCCTATCGTATCGGTCTCTTTGCTCACATCGCGCATAATCTTGAGCCGAAAGTCGGCCGGAGCTAAACAAAACACGGCGTCCAGCGTAAAGCCGAGCGCATCGGTGTCCGTGAGCTGATCGCCGTCCAGAAGCCTCTCGTTGGCGCCCATTATGTCGATTATCACCGCTCGGTTCGCCGCACCCTTACGGGCGAGTTTGCCGGCGGCGATGGCGCCGTCTAAATAGCCCACAACATCGTAGCCGCCCTCCGCCCGGGGCTCCAATTGTCGCAACAGTTTGGCGTAGTGTTCGTTCACCTGTTTGAGCGTGGTCATCGCGCTCATCTCGCGCGTCCAATTGAGCCCGATTACCGGTCGGCCGAGCGTACGGACCAACTCGTCGAACATGGTGAAATTCAATAACATTGTGGGCATCAAATACACGGGTCGACCGGTGGTGACCGCGTTTAGCCGTATATGCGTTTCGGTGGGCATGATAAATTTTTGTCGCAACAAATTGAGCCGGGCGCTTTTCAGCTCGTTGACGTACCTTTTGATGACGTTAATGTCGCCCGACTCGTACGCCTTCAACATACCGATCGTAATGCTTTTGATGTAATTTAGGGAAAACCTTATGGCGTACTCTCTTTCCAGCTCTGTCTGCAACTCCACGGCGAACATCGACTCGAGCCCTATCTCGCCGAGTGTCAAGTGGTCGGGCGTCACCTCCGGGTCGATGCCCAACGCCCGCCACAATTCGCCCACAACTCGCGCCTCTTTACTGCCCGACTCTCTACTGCTTATTCTTGCATTAAATTGAACCTAAAAAACAATATTTCATATAAAATATAATATAAATTTATATAAATATACTGTATATTTCATATTATAAAATGCAATATTAATTTACATTGTTGTTTTTTAAGAATCCCGTTTCAATACCAAACTAATTTTTATTTATTAACCAAACACGTATTTAATTCAACCATCGAGTTAAAAGCATTTTTATTTACTTTGTAAATGTTGAGTTTACTGTTAAATTCAATGCACTATTTATTATTAATACCTAATGTAATGTTTAGTTTGTTCATTAAGCCCTTATAAATAATATACATCGTGAAATACAAATGTAAATATGTTGTAACATGTTGTAAATGATATTACAGTATATGCAAATAATAATTAATATTGAAAACATACGTGAGAAGTGACCACAGGCTGTTTAATTGCCAACAATTTGTCCAAAACATGACAACACGAGTATATTCTTTGCTTTTGAACCGAAGTGAAAGCCATCATCTGTTTGGGGCCGACAAACGCGCCGACGTCGTCGATGGGCCCGTACTGTATGGCCAGTCCGTGCAGACCATCCCTACGGCGCTCTTCGCATATACGCTCACACAACGAGTTGCCGTAAGCGTAGTTCGTTTGCCCGGAGCTGCCTTTGCCGCACGCGATCGACGAGAAGACCACAAAATAATCCAATGGATAATCCAATTGTCGGCTCAATTGATCCAGATTTGTGAATAGCGTGTACTTTGTTTCAAACGACGAGCGAAACCGATCGAGAGTCATATTTTCCAATAGACAATCGCTTAGCTCAAGCGCCAAATGAAACACCCCTCCAATGGGGCCCAACTCCTGTGCCTCCCGTAACAATTGACGCGTGCCGTCAATCGTAAACCCGTCGGCTGTGGAGACAACCCATTGGCAGTCAAACGCTTTATATTTTGCGTAACACTTTAGGAAACGATTGTATATAAACTTTTGATAATCGGTGCGAAGGCCCGACCGGGAAGTGGTCACAAACTTTCGGGCGCCAAAGAACTGCATCCACGGAACCAACTCCAGCCCAAAGCCCCCCAAACCTCCCGTTATTATATAGACTTTGTTTGGATCGAAAAACGTCTTAACCGTTGTCACCATATCTACGGCCGGTTTTATGGCGATCAATGGTCTCCTATTAATCTCTTCGTCGCGCATTTTGAGCGCCACTTTTCCCATGTGTTTACCGGTTGTCATATACCGGAACGCTTTGTCCGCCTCCCGGGCCTCAAACAATGTATAATTAATGGGTTTAACGCAACCATTGGTCGAGTTCTGGCGAACCCAATGGAAATATTCCACAAAAAAGTCAATCTCTTTCAAAATGACCATGTCAATGACAACGCCAATGAATTGTATGTTGCGCACAAAATCAAACATGCCCAACTGTTTGTTTTCAAGCATATCGTACCGACCTAGCTCAACAAAACGGCCACTATTGGCCACACACTGGTAACTGGCGTCCAATTTTTCGCCCGACAACGAGTTTAACACAATGTCGACACCGTTTCCGGCCGTCATTTGCAACAATTGATTCTTGAATGCGATGTCTCTCGAGTTGAATATCCTGTCCGCCGGTATATTGTATTTATTCATCAAAAACTCTTTCTTCTCCGCCGTCCCGACCGTCGCGTATATATCGCACCCGTAGTGCCGACACATATTGATCGCCGCCTGACCCACACCTCCCGCCGCCGAATGAATTAATATACTTTCGCCTGAAATCATGTAATATAATACACATTCAATAATATTGTTACTCAATATTAAACTTTTCAAAACGCTTTAGCGTATAAACTATTGATTGAAAATGCTACCTGATACTGATACCTGACACTGTAAACAACATCATTATAACAACGTAAATAAATTACACACGTTCAAAAATATTATAGCTAATTCATTTGTTTAAACGATTCAAACAAACCTTGTTTAAGATTAGCCCTTTTGATGAGCGCGTAATACAGTGTACAATATGTGCCCACTATAGTGGCCGCCTCTGCCATCGACCAGTGCTCGGGAATTGTGGTCATGCTATGAATGCTGGCGTTCACTGATGTGGCGAACGTACGGTGAGTATCGATTCCCATCACCCGTTCCCCGGTATCCACGCGTCGGCCCACGTATTCGCAGCCCAACAGACAATCGGTAAACAGTTGCTCCGCACCGGGGGTTATGCGACCTGTGATTTGGCAAATAATCATCATGTAATAATTTATTAATTGTAATGTAGCTTAGAAAGATTATTTGTTAAATTAGTTTTTTTAAACAATGCATTAAAAATGTCATTCCCATAGAAATAGTATTAGGGCAAAGGGTTAGCATCGAGGTCCCATAAACTACATTCTTCATTTTGAAATATAGTTATAAATATATGCATAAACATATATAAATATAATAATAAGATAATAATATTATATATCTAGATAAGATTATATATAAATTAATTATATAATTACCAGAAGCGAGCATGACTTCGTGAAATGAAATGCCAGCGCAATATATCTCGACACGTGTTTTGCGAACCTCTTTATTATCAGACGTATAGAAAGTTTTAATTTCGGGTATTTTCCGGGAATCAAACCATTCAATTCCCGTCAAGTCTTTCTTCGCCCCTGAGTTTAGATAATAATCATTTGACACACATTTATCATAGTCTGCGACCACTTTAAAGTGTCTATAAGTTCCCACTTTTCCCTCTTTGATAACATTGGCGGCTAAATCGTTGGCCAATATATCGGAATAGGGTTTGCTATTAAAGTCAATGACAGTGTTGTCGTTATTGGTGTCCATATTGAATATATACCGGAACTTTTTTCCTCCCGGTTCTAATCGCAAACAATTCATTAAACCAATGATACCATTGATTGACGAGTCCTGAGCCAAAAGCCATACCGTATCCATCGTTTTATCCGCGTCTAGACCTGCCGTCTGTTTTTCTTGCAATACACCAAACCATTGCCGGTAATCGCGGTTTACTTGAATTACATTGTGTTTGGCGGGTATTACAGGTTTGTGAATAATTTTCCTGAACAATAAACACATGGTTCCGATTGTATCGCATTTTGCAGCGATTAAATTAAGACCAGTTTTAGTGGCAATCGTTTGAAACGTTTTGATCCTTAAATCCAATTCATTATTACTGGGAATTGGTTTTGCCGTCAAAGACATGAACGCAATCTCCGGTTCCGTAAACTTATACCGAAATACCGATAATAGAAACCCATTGCTGTTTATGGAGTCAAACAAATGTTGTGTGAATTTATTCACATCTATTTGCCATAAGTCCGGTGTGTCTCTCATTATAACCAAATGCGACGGTTTTAATGGCATTTCATCATTGAGTTGCCATTCAGTAGACCTCTCTCTAAACAATTCATTTACCGATTGTTTATTTTTGACAATAAGTTTGTAATCAATTTCAAAGGGAATGACAAGAAAATTGTAAAATATTTGCTCCACATCTTTGGCCAGAAAACTGTTACCCNTATTTTTGACAATAAGTTTGTAATCAATTTCAAAGGGAATGACAAGAAAATTGTAAAATATTTGCTCCACATCTTTGGCCAGAAAACTGTTACCCAAATTAATTTCACATATATTTACGTCTCGATTGGTTACACAGTTTTCGCATACAATTTCGACCAACGCTCTGATCATACGCTCATTCCTCTGGATCTGATTGACCGCATCTTTACTCATATCGTATTCACTATTTGTTTGTATTTCATTCATAATGTTTTGCACTTTTTTGCTATTAATTTTGTTACGATTTTTGTCCATAACTTCTGTCAGAATTTTATCAAACGTACGAAACATAACGTGATTTTCGTTGCATTCTTTGCGAAATTCTTGTATCACTTCTTCGCCTAAGTTTTCGTAATTGAAATCGCATTTCATTTCTGCGAAACCTAATTGTTTTACTTTCACAGCCAGTGATTTGCAAACCTATTATAATCATTACAATTAATATTTAATTTAACATAAAATATCATTATATACTGTACAGTACATACTTTACAGTATAATAAATATTACTTATATTACATTAAATTAAATGTTACCTGTAAATATTTAGCCATAGCGGCTGATAGGCAATGATCTATTGCATGATTGTCATCGTTGGCGTAAAACTCGTCGGTGTCTAACACGAGACCAGTGGTGTCGTGACGGCGGGCAACGGGCGCCACAATCACCTCTTCGAGCTCAACGCCCGGCGCCACCAATTGTTTGGTCTCGCAATTGAAATGAAACGTTATTTCCGACGAGTATTGAGAGAACCGGTGATTGTAACGGGTCTTCGCTGTGTCGACCGCCGGCGCCGACACTATAGGCACCGTTTGGTCGTTGGTATACAACCCGAGTTCGCCCATTTCGTTAGCGACATCGATGTTTACTTGACTCGGATTTGAGGCGATAGGGGCGACGGTAGGTTTCACCCCCTCCACCCCCTCCACCCCTTCCTCACCGCACTTATTGCGATTGAAAGCGTCAAACATAACGCGCGGGTCTATAGTTAGTTTGCGAATGAGCACCGGTAACAGCATTTTGCGAAAGGGCACCGACAGCGCCCGCGACTGTAACAGGGCGTCCATATAAGTGACAAAGTTGCCGTCCCATTGGCAGCGGCCGTAAAACACCCGATAGTCATCGGTGCCGACCCGTCGCAGCCGTTGAAACGCTTGTCCGTACTCTAAGCCAATAATACGTAACTCAGTGTATATGTCGTACGTTTGGAGCGAGTATTGGGCGCCCGATAGTCGCCGCTCGCCGTCCAATAGGGTGTGCTGTGCGCTCAGCGCGTCATCGCCTGCGGGCGCACGCATTTTGCCCGAAACGCATACGTTTTCGTTCTCGTAGATACAAAAGTCACCTGATACATTTAACAACATAAAACAAACAAGTGCCACAATTAGTTGCCATAATATTATAATGTGTATAGTTAGTAAATATATTGGTCAATTGATAAACATATGCATACGCAAAATTGCAATGTAAATTAAATTGTATATATGCAAAATTGGTTTTAATTAAAATGTTACTTTTGTAACAAATTTGCCTTCATAGTTTTTCCACCACTGAATTTTTGATTGTAAAAATTGAGGACAATTATATTATTAAATAATAAAATAAACTATAGCTAACCGGTTAATGGATAATATTTGACAGTAAGTTTGGTGATACTGTCCTCGCTCAAAAACACGGCCCTTTTAAACTGAACATTCTCAAACACTACGGGCACCTGGTGCCACAATTTGCCCTGGTCGTAGGCCAGTTTACGCCACGCCAGCAGCAAATACCCGGTGGCCGCCAATATAGGCTGACCGTCGACCGAGTGGTCCAAATAAAAGCGGTAATCATTTGCTCCGCAATTGATCTCGACGTTGGCGTCGGCGCCGTTTCGGCGACTCCAGCGCTCCGGGAATATGCGGTCGCGAATCGGCTTTCGGTGATCCCATTTGATCAGTGAGTTAATGGCCGCCGTATTCCTGGCCACCGGCCACTCGACGCGCGGGTACAGCCGCTCGACCGACAGATTGACGCCCAACTCGTAGAGTGCGGCCAAACCGGACATAAAGCGGTCCATATTTGTATCGTTTGAGTCCTTTTTGATGAGCGACACGTAAGAGCACTGCCCGAGCGTTTCGGTCGCTATTTTGCCAAACAGTGAGTGCGGACCCAACTCTAGTACAATGGCGTCGGCGGGCA